GTTTATATACATCTTCCTGAGTGTGGCATCAACCCTGACACCCAGTTGCTCATTGAGCAAAGGGATGTTATCAGGGGACGTAACCCAACCGACCCCCAGCTCCCGAAACTCAATCTGGAAATTAGTATTTCCATACAAGCCCATGCTAGGAACACATGGGGCATGGCAAACCCATCTTGCGTCATGCAGCAGGCGCACAAAGCCACAAACCCGTCTAAGCACGGGAATCTCCTCCGCTCACTAGCCGGAAAGTGACACCACCCTCCCTCCATTCAGCCAATCTAATTTGGTCTGAATTCCCTCTCTTCCCAGCGCAATATCTCATCTGCTTTCTGCAAGCTTATCACCTCAATTAGCCCTCACTCCCAAAGCCCCTCCACCCGCTGCCTCATATGTTGAATCCGGGCTGAACATCCCCTTGATAGGAATTTCTTCCCTTTCACACCTGACATGGTGAAGCTTGCTATCGCAGCCGCCAGCAATTCTTCCACCAAAGGTCCAGATGGCCTTACGGTCCTTCACCTCAAGCACCTTGGCCCACATGGTCTCCAGATCCTCACCCAAATTTTTAACATTTCTGTCTCCACAGCCTCGATCCTATCCATTTGGAAAACTTCAATAATTATTCCAATCCTTAAACCAGATAAACCTGGAAACCAGGGCTCTTCATACCGCCCTATTTCCCTCCTCTGCCCTGCTGCCAAGACCCTAGAGCGTCTTGTGCTCCCGTACATCTTAGGATCCCTCACCACCGTCCCCTCGCAACACGGGTCCAAACTAAGACACTCCACTGTCACTGCCCTCTTCCCGCTCACGCACCAGATCATGATGGGTTTTAACTCTTGGTGCCCCCCAGCCCGTACAGTCGCCGCTACAGTAGACCTCTCGAAAGCTTTTGATAGTGTCAACCATCCCCTCCTCCTAAGCATGATCATGGCCTCTGTCCCTCAGACAACATCACAACCTTGTCTGCTGGCTGTGCTGCTACCTTAGAGGCAGGCAGGCATCCTGCCTCTACCTGAGAACTCAATTGCCTTTCAGAGCTACGCACTCTGGCTTTCCCCAGGGCTCGGTCATCTTGCCGGCCCTTTTTAACCATTTCATTTCCAACATCCCAGTGCCGTCTCGCAACATTGCCTCATACGCGGACAACCTTACCATCTTTGTTTCATCCCTGAGGCTTGACGCTGCGGAGGCTGAGCTTGCCGTGCTCCTTTGGAGCATCTCAGAGACTCAGATTGGTCGGTGGACAAGAAACTGGCCGTGGCTTCTGGTAAGTCATCGGTCACGCTTTTCATCCCAGATACGCACCAATCCCAATACCACCCATCTGCCACAATCTGCAACGGCATCATCCCCCTGGACAAAACCCCCAAAATCCTAGGTGTCACCTGGGATGCGCACTTCACGTTCTCCCCCCATGCAAGAGCCATAGCCACGAAAGCGACTGGCTCTCTTCACATCTTAAAAGCCCTAGCTGGTACCAACTAGGGCTTCTCCAAGGTGGACATCATTGCCACCTACCGAACTATCATGCGCCCAATCCTCAACTACCTGGCCCCCATCTAGTACCCTGTTGCCTCACATACAGCAGTTGCCAGCCTGCAGATAATACAAAACACTGCATTGAGACTAGCCACCGGCTGCCTCAAAATGGCCCCGATCTCCCATCTTCACCAGGAGACCAACGTCCTCCCTTTGTCCACCCACCTGGACCTGGCTTGTGCCCAGTTCCCTGCCAGCACCCTCCAGCTCTCCCATAACTCATTCTGCATTGTCTCTGCTCCACTGGGGGACTGCCCTATGAAAGCCTCCATTCAGCCGAGGTTTGGCCACCTTGTTACACCACTCCTGGCAAATGGCATCTTGCCAGCTGGTGCATACGGAGAAGCCAAATGGGCTCTCTCTGCAGGGAGATTGCCTTCCGCGTTAGGGCAACTGACGCATAAACGCCATCCTTGCTGCTCCTCCACTGCCAATTGCATCGACTAAGGCCTCACTCCCTCGCTCCTACTATTCGGCACTATCCCAGCTCTGCTCGGGATACTGCAGCTCCCTGGCATCCTACTCCACTAGGATTGGATGCTCCCCTAGCTCCGCCTGCCCGGAGTGCAGGGATCCCCTCCAATCGGTCCAGCACCTCTTTGCCTGCCCCGTCTTCCCCACGTCCCTCCGCATCTCCTCACTGTGGGACAGCCCTGTGGAGGCAGCGGCATTCCTGGCCACCCTCCCTGCTTTCACCCATCTCCCCCCTCTTCCGGTGCCGGCCCCTGCCCACCTCCTGAGCCTCCCCCCAGCGAGCGTGACGGATGCAATAAAGAACAACATTGTCTGCATCAGTGTTCATCATCAGACATCAGAACAGTGTTGATCATTGGGCATGGCTAAATTGACCGTAAAAGGCGTGCGCTTGTGTCAATCATCAGGTATTGGCCACATCAATTGTGGAGTGTGCATCAGTGTTGATCATTGAGCATTGGCCACATCAATTGCAGAGTGTGCATCAGTGTTGAACATTGGGCATTGGCTAAATCAATCATGAAGAGCTTGTATTTGTGTCGATCATTAGGCATCAGCCACTTTGATCACAAAGAGTGTGCATCAGTGTTGATCGTTGGGCGACGGCTAAATTGAATGTAAAGCGCACATGTTTGTGTCGATCATCAGGCATCGGCCACATTGATCACAAAGAGTGTGCATCAGCATTAATCATTGGGCATCGGCCACTTCAATCACAAAAGCATGCATCAGTGTTGATCATTGGGCATTGACTAAATCAATTGTGAAGCGCGTGCATTTATGTTGATCCTCAGGCATTGGCCCCATCGATCGCAAAAAGCATGCATCAGTGGCAATAATTGGCTATCAGCCACTTTGACTGCAAAAGCGTGCATCAGTGTTGACCATTGGGCATTGGCTATATCAATCATAAAGCATGTGTGTTTGTGACAATCGTCAGGCATCAGCCACATCAATCGTACAGTGCGTGTGCCATGTCGATCATGTGGCATTGGTGACTGTTACACTTTCATTTTTAGCCTGCATATTGGCAACTTTCTTCCCTGGTGTACTGGCGTACATCCCAAAATGAACCTCCGGCATACACGCTGCACCTTCCTGACCATGGGTACCTCCTGTCCTTAATGTTCCATATTTAGCATTGCCAGGGATTCACAAATATCTAAAATGCAATAATTTCAATCGAAATGTGTTGGCAAGATCTTTTGAAGGTGTAAATTTTGCTGCTGATGCATCACCTAAGATCTGCAGATATTCACCATCTGATGGTGAGTGGTGGCATTCTAAATGATCATGTACCTATGTAATGGAGGAGCATGGTGGCAAAATAAGAGCGTGCTTGCTCGTTTCAATATAGGAGCTTGCCTTCCAGCATCAACGGCAGCACATTCCAAGACAAGTGGGCTGGCAGCAGCGACAGCATGCTTGCCCCACTGTTATTGTAGCTGAAGTCCCACTCCCGCACAACCCCCGCCTCCTCGCTTCACTAGTGAGTAGCCCTGGAGCACTTTGGCCAGTCTGATGGTATAAATGACCAACCATTTCCTAGAATTCCACCATGCACCTACTTACTGCACCCTGGAGTCTTGGTAGTGAAAGACTGAGAGGGCTATACTTCCAGCTCCAGCTGTGCTTAGAATCCAGATTCTGTAAAATAGTGCTTCCAATCAGGCCAATTTTGAATTTAGCAAATGTAGTGCTTTCAACCAATGCTACTGCAAATTGCTGGCAGTGGACAAATGGCCCTTATTAAACCACATGGTCCTAATCAACCCTAGTAAGGAAGAGCCCTTTTTTTATGAAATATCATGGCTCTAAAATCATATAATTTAATAGGTATGAAGTGTTGCAGCTGTAATGTGATGTATTTTTGTTTGATTAAAAAATTGTAGTACACAATCACAAATATTTCATTTTATAAATTTTTCAACTTCCGCAGTTCAGTATCATGCTCCTGCCAAAATATCCTTCATAATGAGTGAATGCAAAATGTTTCATCAGTGATCCCATAGTTACGGTCACTTCAGACTGCATTGTATGATTATTAAGGCATTTATTCTTCACCAGAAACATAATCAATACATTATCATGTGTTTAGTTGCCTCTAAAGTAAAGACAAATGTTCTTGTTGCTGTTTCTATGGTAAAATTGGAGATTTGGGGTAACACATGTACAGGACTCTGCAAATGAGTTTGTGGCTCATAAATGGCTTTTTATGGCATGGATATGGTATTCATGGCTCAAGGAAATGGAATCATACAATCATGCTTACAAATACATAAAATGAATGCTCAAAAAAAAAAAAAAAAAGTAGATGTTATCACTAGAATCAACCTAATGACATGACTTTTCTGAAAGATCCTATTGGCCCCACCAAAGGAAAGAAAACTTGCCATTCATTACAATAAAGGTTACAATTGTCCCTCCAAACACACATTGTCACTTGCCAGCTGGTTGCACTTGAGTCTTCCTCATTCAATGGACAAAGCATTGCTCAAGTTTGGTGGCTTAATCACTGCCTTGGAACCTCATCTCGGCTCTTGGTGGTAGAGATATCCCACAGAAAAGAAGAACTGCTGTAATTTGTCACCTTGGACAATACCTGCTGAGATGCAGCATGGTGAACACCCTATGGAAATAAGTGCCTAATTCTCTTGTCTCTTCCACACAACATTCACCAGCTAGTGAGAGTGTCAGAAACACAAATTGAAACAAAAGTGGCAAAATAGTACAAGTCTTCAACAAAAATCCAGTTGTGCTCAGGCTGGGAGTTGTGACTTGTTGATACCCAAAGTCTTGAAGTCAATTAAAAAAAATTAATTATAACAATTATGTATATAGAAAACAGTGCTCTGCCTGATGATAGGAAATCCTGAATAAGATATGTAATGTCATATGATTTTTTCATAATATTCATGTAATTTGAGGTTTTTAATAGAATATTCTGTAGTATGAGGGCAAAGCTGTATTCATTGAAGAAGTCATCATTTTTCTTTAAACTTCTGGCCTTTGCATTTGTAACATTTCTTTACTGTGAATTTCTGCATTACTATACTACAATTTTCTTTGTAAGTGAAATTAGTGAATAGTACCTATTTGTATGCAGACTGTGATAAAATGTATTTACTATAATTAGAGTAGAAATAGAATGATATTAATGATGTTATGGTAGACCTAGATTAGAATTCACATTCACTATAGTTTCATAGTAGATAGTTAGGCAAGGACCTTAAGAATGGAGTAAATTGTCCATAAGTTACAATGAAACTAGAAGGAATTCCACCATGATCAATTATATGTACCATTTTATTTCCATTCTAGCTAGGGTCCATAACCACACAAGCCAAGGGCATTTCTGTCCCATTCCACAGTGACTTTGGCCTAATTTTCTGGTCTGTTTGCAACATATGGATGAGCATAATTAGCAATTCATTTGTCATCTGTCACAATATTATCATGGCAATTGGCATTTTGGGGGCAATTAATTGCCATCTGCAAAGTAGGCATGGCAAATGAGCTGTGACCATTTTTTAAGCTGCATAATTCCTGCTAGGGGAATTAGATTTGGTACTTCATATCTAATTTTTATCACATGTGTAAAATCAGGTCACAAGATTGGTTGATCCCAAATGTATTAAACAGTTTATTACTTTGTAGCCTTGATAGTTTCATTCATAATTATGAAAATTCATATCCTGCTTCAAAACAACAAGGTTGGGCCCATTCTGAAAATTTTGGCAGAAGCTAAAATGGCTGAAGAGATTTTTTTTAGAAATCAGTTCATTCATAATTTACTAATCTATTTCAAAATTAATTAAATATCTATTTATGACAATTATGGTATCCATGATACCTACTTCTCTGGTCTGCTTGGGTTGATATTCAGTATTTATCAGAATTTTCCAAGAAATGTAGGTGAATAGTACTATTTTCATATAGATACCCTCAAACGGAATAATAGGGGATGGGCAGGGTAAATCTGGAAAGTCGTCCCACATGGTGAAAAAAAAGTTGTCCCCCTGAAAAAAATTGTGAAAAGTTTAATTTTGGAAAAGTACCTCTGCTGAGATCTGTAGCCAAGAAAAGAAAATGGTTCACCATATTAAAAAATTTTAATTACATTAAAGTTGCACCATGTTGGCTTAAAAGCGCGATTGACAGAATTTGCCTGTCATTCTAAAAAGAAATCTTAGCCATTTATGCAGGACAGGGTAATAAGGGACACCCCTAAAAACACATTTACAGTAGAACCTCAGTTAGCAAAGGCTCCAGTTAACCAAGAAACAATTAACAATGATAAATTTTGATTTGACCAATGAAAAAACTTGATACATTTACCTCGCTCAGCAAAAAAATATTCTATTGACAAAAAATTAATGCACCTTCAGTCATCACAAAATTGTGCATAGAATGTCATAAATAGAATTGTGCACCGGGCAAAATAGAATGAAAAGTAATTGACCTAAACTATGATTTATTTCTCTAAAAAATATGATGGTTGTCACTAAAATATTCTTGTCTGTTTCAGACATATTTTCATGATATTTTTTTGTTATAGTGAATTCACTTGACCCAATTAAATGGTGTGATTACAAGCCATCATGAAAGCTTACAGATACAGAATAAATTCTACATGGCTGCTGATATGAAGCTTGCAGTGGACAAGGTCATTGTAAATGCACAATGGTATGTCCACAGATATGGTAACCGTCAACCGGGGCTACTCGGGACAAGCGGGGCTACTCAGGACAGGTCTCCAACACGGCGTAAAACTGTTGTAGTAGAGAAACTAATTGGAATATTGCAAAACTAAAAATAGTGGCGTAAACGTCAACATTTTTCCTATCTATGTAGTATAAAGGAAGTTACTCGGGACAATCTTTATTTTGCGTCTGGCACCTTACGAATACATATGGAATTTTTTGACAATGCCATTTGATAGCCCTCGCAAAGAGCTATAAAATGAGCCTAAATTTGTTTATGAAATGTTTCATCGTAAGAAGTTATTAACAGTTATTAACAAAAAAACGATCAAATCTGTCCCCGAGTAGCCCCGGTTGACGGAATATCATATCAGTAATATGATGTTGTATGGATATGGTAATATCAAATCAATAATGGAAGAACAAGAAAAATCACAGAAAATGTCATTTATTCTACATCTAAATCATCTACAATGGAAGGGAAGGACTTCAGAGTACTGTTAATAATATACGAGTACACTTTGAATAATTCAAACATTTTGAAATTGAGTTTTATTTCAAGTGTCCCGGATAACTCCGTTCTCAGGGGTAATTTGGGACGTTTTTATTTTGTGTCTGACACCTTACAAATAGCAGAGATTTTTTTGGAGATGCCATTCAATAGCCCTTGCAAAGAGCTTTAAAATGAGCCCAAACTTATTTATAAAATCTTTCATTGTAAGAAGTTATTAACGAAAAACACTCAAAACCATCTCTTATAACCCTATTTGATGGTAATTTTTGGAAAATATTAGGCATAAATTTGCCCTTTCTGTTATGGTATTCTTTTTACTTAAGAAATTTGGCAAGCACCACAAAAACGATTGAAATTGGCTAAAACCACATGGATTTTTTGTCTCATTCATGGGTGGCTTCTGCTTGATTTTCTAGAATGGTACTTATGGCATGTAGGTAATAAGCCTGTGAATGAGGTAAAGATGCCCAGGCTTGCAGTCAGTTTCACCTGTTTTTGTCCATAAGTTCAGACCATATAATAATTGTCAAAAATACCATTTAAAGGGCTCTCTTGCCATATACTACACGCTGGAAGGTTGCAGTTCATTTTTGTTTATAAAATGATCTTATTGAAAACTGGTAACAATGTAACTTACATACATAAGGTCTGTGGAACTTGACATTAGGTCATAAGGGCCACACATTGAAATGACAGCTATTACCGGTATGTGTTTAAATTAATTTCACCAAATGATTTTATCTTGTCTAGTTAGAATGAGCTGGCGATTTATTGCCCCACTACTGCAATGGTTGTGTTAGCCTCCATGCCAACACCCATTGCTTGAAAATTTTTGATCCTGACAAACTGAGAGCCAATGCTGTTAATATATACCTTTTATTGAATGCTGTATTGAGATTGATTGTAAACAAAGCCCAGTGTTTGTATTTCCTCTGGACTATACTCATTTCCCAGCTATGTAAATCTAGAATTGTTTTTCGAGAATTTATTTTAATTAATTAGTGTCACTTCATAAGTGCAATTGAGGAATTGCTCAATTTCTGATTCCACTCAAAACTGTTTATTAATCTCATTGAGTAGTTCAAAAGTGCCACATTTAATTTTGTCCAACAAAATCAAGAGTATTTTTTGTTTTCCATTAAAAATATTACTATTATCATGATATATACGGTATACATATATATGCATATACTTCATTGTATGATGTTTGGTAGGTATAACCTTTGAACTATAAATTATCCCGGTGAATTGAACAAATGTGATCTGTAATGCAGGGGTTTTCCATCTCGTTTGAAAATTGAGTTACGTCAATAATGGCCAACAAAGTCAGACACCAGAGCCACTTTCTGTATGGAAAGATGCACAGGAAACTAAATGAATGAATGTTTGAGATTTTGTTCAATATTCAATTCCACCATTGAATTCTTTTATTATATCCAAGGCAGTAATTTTAGAATTGCTTCAATCAATTTTATTAACCATCTTCTGCAAAATTTTTAACAGTGCACATGGCCAGATTCTTCAAATGCAGCAGTCCAAGGAGAGGTTGTAAGGACCATGGTGGTGGCTGACACACATCTACTTGGGTCGAGAAATGGTCACTGGTTTGATAAACTACGTAGGTGAGTTAACTCTAATTTACTTGTTCATATGCCCTGTACAGCTCATTTTCAGTAATTATATATATGTACCTTGAAATTTCCTGAAAATTATTTTCCATTTTATTGTTTAATCTACTACAATTGCCAATTGAATTTTTTCAACTTTCAGGGAATGGCAAATGCATCGAGCTTTTCAGACAGCAGTATTTCTACACAGCCCTGATCTTGTCATATTTTTGGGTTAGTACCTCAACAAGAAGAGCATAACATCATCATGTCATTCTCTTTAGCATATTGAAAACAGACATACTGCACTTTCTTATTGTGTATGATCTTGTATTTGAAGATGTGGTTAATGAGAGAGTTATGGTAGCAATAATATTGCTTAATACCGTATCAATTCACACGAAATACTAATACAGGTTATGTTTATACTCAAGAGTAAATGCATTCTTAATGAAGTCATTGTGCTTCTTTGCAATATGTTGTGTGTGAAAAAACAAGAACTGTCTTCTAACTAGTCTACCTAGGGTGCATTGACAATTTCCTAATCTTCATATAATTCAGGAAAATTCTTTGTCTTTACTAACAAAGAGAACAATTGTAATTCTTTCCAGTGACATTTATTAAATTCATACTATATCAGTATTACAATCTAGCCTTGTAGAATTTTTCCATGCATGTTGGTCAATTTTCATCATATTTCAGGAGATCTGTTTGACGAGGGCAAATGGTGCAGCACTGAAGAGTTCAGTGAGTATGTCAAGAGATTTTCCACTATTTTTGCTCTGCCTAACGCCACTCAGCTGATAGTGGTTGCTGGTAATCATGACATTGGCTTCCACTACAGGTTTGTTAAACAAAGATGCAAGCAAAATTAATTTTTCATTTCGATAGTAGATGTAGTGCTAACAGTAGAGACCAAACTTTACAATGGCCGAGGGCCCGAGGTTATCAGGCTTTGTCACTGAATATGGTTCTTGTGTAAGAAAATGGTAATTAGTTGGGGATATAAAATAAATTATTTTACATGAAAAATTGGTCGATAGTTGATATCAATTAGTTGATAGGCATAAATTTGTTATAGTTGAGGCAAATGGAATCAAATGCAAGAGTTTAAATACAATTCTATCTTCTACATGAAATACAACTTGAAAGAATATGCCTTTTTAACTTTTGGAAAACATTTAAGGCAAAGATATTTTCCTGATGCTAAAACCAGTGTTACTTTTGAATGATTTTTGCCTTGAATGCAAAAAAAGTAATATATGTCATAAATTACATATTTGCCTCTTACCAAATTATTTTTATTGTAATATTGAATTTTCCTTTAATTTTGTTGGTTTTACAAAATTTGGATCCACCCATTTCCTTTCTTGAAATAGCTGGTAAATCTCGTTGATTAATACGTTAAATCTCGTTGTAATATATTAAATCTCGTTGCTGGCCTAATTAAACAGCTGATCCCTCTATCATGCTTTTTGAAATTATGTGCTATAACACGCGTTTTACAAGGAAATGATGGAGAAAATCAAAGTTTCACTCTGAGCCAAATTTCTTAGATTCTTTTGGGATATCGCCCATCTATTCGGGATATCACCCTCATTTGGGGACTTTGTTCAGTGGTGGGATGGTATGGCACGGTAAAACGTAGGTTGGAAAAAATATATTTCATTCAACTTTTAAATAAATCAAATTATATTTTAAAACAATTTATAAAATGAAAATTTTCTTCTAATTCTGAAGAAATCAAAGGGGGGGGGTTCACTTTGTGTCTCTGTCAAAATGAAATTAGTTTTAGTTGAAAGAATTATATTCTTTTCCAGCATCAATCCAGCTCTGGCAGGACGTTTTGAAGTCGCGTTCAGAACGGCCAGCGTGAGCGCCGTGTCGGTGCGCGGTGTTCTGTTCGTGGGCGTCAACAGCATGGCGATGCACGGCGACGATTGTTTCCTCTGTGCTGACGCTACCAAAAAACTCAAGCAGCTGCATAGTGAGCATTAATTTTGCATGTGTTTAGAATTGTAGGTACTTGAGATTCTTTATTTATTCACACAGGAGTACACAAAACATAACATAACATAACATAGTGATGTCGGCTCTGAAGTGTAGGCCTGATGTGGCCTGTCGCCGATTCTTTTCCATTTCGTGCCTTGTTCATAGAATCTAAACTCGTGTACATACATAATAAGTTTGATTGAAGACCAAAGCATGCTCTATATTAACAATCTTCTTATTTTTTCAATGAGTCTAACAAAATTTTGCTGCTTTCACCGGGAGGTCAAAAATCAGGCTATCAAATGCCATTTTAATGGAATGCGACGTTTGGAAAATACAATTTTCATTATCAAGCAGGTGAAGGTTTTGCAACACTTGAAATTGAATTTTACATTGATGACAGTAGTACAAATCAAGGGAATTGTGGATACAGTTTAAAATATAAGCTTAAAATTAATCTGAATACAATTTCAGCGCCCTGGAAAATCCTGTAGTTTGCAAGTTGATAGCTGAAGACTCGCTCTTGATAATGAGGGCCTCGGCTATCGCCAGTCTCGAAGCGTCAGGGCCTCGCAAACTACGCTGGTGCAGGCCTCCAATGTCGCCCCTGTGATGGTCTCATTGTGAGCCTCCAGCATGTGATTGTTAATAAAAAACATGCGCTGGTCTTAGATTAAACTTGCATAATTGATAAGCTTTTGCCTAATTACACAAATTTTAAAACGTAATAAGTGAACGTCAAGAACTGAAAAATGACAAGATGCTTCCTTGTGAATGCACATATAGGTTAAAAAGCTTTGAAGAATGTCTTAGCTTTATAGCTGCTTGAATCATATGCTTATAAGATGGTGAAAGATGCGGCAAACGTTGAGCCCTGCTTTTCGCATCTTAGCTCAGTAAAATTCTGTTATTCTATAAGTTATCAAACCCTTGCAGTTAACTTAGCTAAAATAAGGCTATCTTAGTTCAATGAAATTCTGTTTCTCTACTACAGACTACAGTTATCAAATTTGTATCGTGGACTGATTGAATGTTTGATGATCGCAATGTAGTTTTATTCTAGTCATTTTAATGCAATGAAACTATTGTTAAGCGCAGAAGAGCTGCAGTGCCGGCAAGGAGCTGGTCCATGCGATGCTGAAGCCGAGAAATTCCTGCCTGCTGATGATGGACACGCTTTTTCGCGGCCAGTGTTGCTCCAGGTATTCAGAAATTTACTTTAGACGCCAAAAATTGGTTTTCCTTGTTTGATTCGCAATATATTTTTCGATCGTATTTTCCCTTGTAGCATGCCTTTAGATAGAAAGATCTAAAAATCAATTTCAACACTGTGATTGTGAAAATTTTATCTAAATAATTTTTCTTATCATGATTAAGGTCACCACGCAATTCATGATTTTTTTAAAAGATTTGTACTGCTTGGTGTTCAAATGTTTGTTTTTGTTATAATATTAGGTCAGTTATAGGTCGGAAAATGGATACAGAAAAGAGAAAGAGGGGAAATGGAGTTAAGAAGGTTATCCTAATAACGTGGCAATCTCACCGGGAGAAGAAATGGAGAGCAGCGAAGAAAGAGGGGCAGGTTTAGAGATGTTAGGCGGAGTGAAAAGGGTAGGGCAGGATTGGCTAAGAAACTAATACACCCCAAGTTCAGAGGTAGCCAGCTACTGGAAAACTATCTGACCAAATAACGACTGGATTAATCTCAAATTTGTATATATCTCTGCGCATTAAGCAATGGGGATACAAAAGGGCACTATGTTTGAAAGGTTTGAAGAGAATTCACGAAAAACTGGGAGCAGGCCAGATCTCAGTGGGCGGCAAGAGGCGAACGATGGTCTCTCGATTTTGTAGTAATCACCCTAAGCCATATAGCGGCTTACCTCAAGCACACCTCTGGATGGCCTGCTTTAGCGGTGTGTGAGACTAAAAGATACCAGATTGTTGATATCTAACTTTGTTGTTGATTGGAGAAAATTCTAACTCGTTCACTGGTATTGCCGATCAATTGCATCCATCTCAGGGGCCGCATTATCAAAACTTCGTAACTTTTTGTACTTCCGACAAAAAAGTTACGTGTTACGTAAGTACACCCTAATTTTGGCATTATCAAAACATTCGTACGTAAGACTTAGCTAAAAGCGTACTCAAATGTTTTGATAATACCACCTCTAGAGTTACGTCATCAAGTCAGCACTTACGCCACTCGTAAGTCGATTTTGCGTACTTACGAAGTTTTGATAATACGGCCCCAGCTCCGCGATTGGTATTGTTTTATTCTTCAGAATTATTATTTTCTTCACATTTCATCAACCCAAGCATCAATGAAAAATCCCATGACTGATAGAATGGATATCCGGTGTTAAAATTATTTAATGAATTGCACCTTGCTTAGTTTAACCCATTCTGTCTGACGGATCTCTCGGTCCCAGGCCTTTATGTACGAATAACTTTGATGACGATTTATGTATCAGTAGAGAGAGGGTTAAGACATATTTTGTCCGAGGATGAATACATGATGAATTACCGGCGTACGGTATATATTCTGTAAATAGGCTTGACCTGAGGACAGGGATTCGTTAATCAAGTACGTGAGGGATAAGCAAAGTCTACTTTTATATAAATATAAAACTTATCTTGATGCGGGGTGGTATAAATAACAGATTCATTACAGAGCTACGGACAGATTACTTAAGATTATTTGCCGCGATGTAGCGGCACGGCCGACGCTACTTCGAGGTGGTCGTGCTGATAACTTAAGAGCAACTGGGAGGTCCCCAGCCCTTTTATAAACTTCGTATTTCCGCCCACCAGTGCTGTCATGCTCACCCAATGTCTGAGCTGACTCAATATCTGGTACTCTTCCGCGTCTAGAGCATATCAAGTCTCAATTGCAGTTCCTCTAATCTCACAATATAATTTGAGACGAATGGAATGAGATGTCTGATGGACACCTATCAATTTCGTAGTACTGATACCAAGTGTGTTGACTAAAATGAAGCTTGTGTTGGCAGCACTACCCCTTATACCGCGAGAGCGATAAGCACTGCGATGGCTACGACGCCGCTCCTCCCGGAAGCCGCGATTTGCTTTTCAGGGAGCGATGGGAGTGTCTTTCTCAACAGGCTTCACAGCAGGCACGTGTTTCTTTTGGCTGATATTACCGAATAGATTCTCCCTAGAATAGGTACACAAATATATTCTCCCCGGTACTAGAATTTGTCTCAATTTAATATCACATATCTAAGTAGATGGCCTATGTACTGATGAGATTTTATTATGTATAAATGTTGAAAATTTTCATTTTCTTCTTGGCATCGCAAGACACAGCCTTACACGTGATTGTGTCTCCAGTTGCTGTCGCTGCTGCAGCCCCAATTGGTGCTGAGCGGCCACACACACCACGGCTGCACGACGCTTCACATGCACCCGCCTAGAGTCATTGACGCTAACCAGGTATTGGTGAGTGTAGTGCACCGTACATACCCCCAGGTCTAAGTATAGACACTATTATTTATCTCGAATTTTGACCAGCTTCGTTATTGGATGAGTTCGAACCAATTAATCTCATCAAATGATACTTCTTCCCTCTTGCCTATCTGAAGTCGAAAATTCTGATAGCAAGTTTAACACCTGGTAGTATGTGCCGAGATCTTAAAACTTTTTCCCTTCTCTACTGTGGTATATATAATTTTTGCATATAAGAATTCAAGTTAAGTGGCTTGTAACATACGAAATTATATGTCTGCATAAGGCGTTCGATCTCTATCGGCGCATTGCTGTATTTCTCAATTCGTATGAAATTGAAGCCCGCTAACACTCATTTAGTAATTAACGTGTTACTGTGAATGAAAGTACATAAAATCCAATCCGAATAACACTAAAATCCAATACCAATTCGTTGTTGACGCTTGTGCATGACTGACAAAATTATTAATTTCCAGGGTAGGTAGCCAAAACTCCTATATCTCGCATCTCTTTTGTTATGTTCGTATTGCATTAAATATTTTTTCCAGTTTACGTCGTAAGGCATTAGAAATCTTTTCTATTTACGTTGGTATGGCTCTGGACATTTTTTTACGTTCCTACTAAGGCTCCAGACAATAGCTTCTCTGAGGACGGCGATGCGCTCCCTGAAGATGCCGAGTACGCAGCTGCAGAGCGTGACTACGTCGACCGGCAACAAGCAGCCGCCGCTGCCCTGCGCGGTGAGGTCGACGAGCCGTTGATCATCCCCGAGTATTCGGTGCCATCATTCAGCTGGCGTAATAAGAAGAACCCCACCTTCGCAATGGTAGGATATGCAAGCACGGCACCAAGTTCAATGATATGTGTGTTACCGCTGTTGAAGTATTTTAAATTAGCTCTGTAGGTATATTCTTGCAAAATTATATTTGTTGATTTACAGGTAATTCTAACGGGCCGGCTATAACAAGTGCGTTTTTTTTGCAGGTTAGCATAACAGCGGACAGCCATGGTGTGTACCGATGCGAGATGCCGCGCGAGCAGACCGTTGTGCTGCTGTACTGTGCTTCATTTTGCTTATTTCTCTTGTCATTTGTTAGGCGTAAGTTATGGTGGCTCGCTCCTGTGTACAATGTAATAATGCGTAGAGCAGAGAGATAGTTCCGTTAATTTGCCCAACGGGCACAAGGGCAATTCCTCGTAAATATTGCCACCACAAAGCCCAAGTTGAATTTATGCTGTATGCTATAAGAAGCATGAAGGAATGAAGTGAATTTCTGATACCAAATAAAGTTGCCATCAAACGAGTTTCATTTTCTTGCTCCGAAATAGAAGCTGATAGTAAGTACTTGCAAAGCAAATATCTTACTTGAAAATTTTTGATTACTTGAGATTACTATGGCTGTTTATCTTTTGGGCTTCATAGGCGTGTGTACTAACGTAGTTTATATTAACCTTTGTACATTCGTCGGCATGCAGATATTTATGTTAGCACCCACGCGTGCGGTGAAAGCCTAGTTTTTTCCTACAAATTTATAGTTCAGTTCTAACAGAGCTCATAATTCAAATTGCTTATTTTCATGTTGTGATAGTTAACATGTTAAATGTTTTTAGGCGACACTAATTCCCGAAAACTCGAAGGTATGAATTACAACTCAATTGTGGACATCGCCATGCCGGTTTTGGTATAGGGGGAATAAGACGCGCGATAATCATTGCCAGGCAAATTTACTTCTTTGACCTGGGTGGCAGGATGATGCCCTCGTACCGCTGTTGGAAATACTTGATAGCGTCTTCGGTGACGAGGCGGTGCTGGGGGCTGATCGTGCCTGGGGCGCGACGCCTCTGAGACACGCGGTACCCTGCACGCACGAGCACATTGTTATTATACATCATTTCGAGGATATTTGTGGAATGAATTCGATGAGAACGAGACTAACACTTAAGAAATTATTAACAATACTACGTTTTGACAAGGTGATAGGATTTTAATTGAAGTAGAATTTTAGTTTTGAAAATGCGGCATAAGAAATGTTAGTCAACGATCGAACGAAGCTTAATATTTCGTCGCGCAATAGCACTACTCGGTGAAATTTAAAGCAAAATAAGCACGAATATAAATACAAAAAAGCACGGCATGTTGAACGACCTACAGGCACCTGAGGTCAGAACAAACTGGAGCTTACCAGGCCTGTTAAGCACCACGAAGAAGTCCATGCCGAAGATGCCGACTGAGGGATCGTATTTGATGCCCAAGTCAATGTGCTCCTGGATACCGAAACCGAAGTTTCCGTTCACTGAGAAATTTTCTCTTCTGAGCTCGTACTCACGCACCTATATGGAGTTAATCGAAGAGTCAATGCAAAATACCGATATAATGCATAATTAACGTTACCTAGAAATAATCAGTACTAAAATTGCTTCTTCAGAAACAGAATAGGGGATTTAAGAGTTATCAAAGAATTCGATCACGTGGGCGTGACCAATGTATAGATTTAAAAAAAAACATATCCCGAGAGACCCGGGTGTGCTCATTACACATTAATAAAAACACATTTGAAGTTAAATTATTTTCCGTTCCTGAATTGTGAAAATTAATTGACCAGAGTCCATGGAAGGACGTTTAACTAATAATAAAATGAATTGTTTGAAGTTTTAATTAAGGGGTAATGGTGATATACACATAAAATACGCGCAAGTTCATTGCGTATTTAGAATAATTGAACAGTTTAAATTTCTAGAAGCACTTCATGCTGAGAGTGCAACAAGTAATGTCGATTACATAACTGTTCATGACATACGCCTCATCTTCAGGCCCTTTTCTAAGATAGATGCCTCACCTGGAGACCCTTCCCCAAGATGGATGTCTCACCTTGAGACTCATCCTTAAGAGCCTCACCTAGAGACCCATATCCAAGATATATGGCTCACCTTTAGACCCTTTTCTAAGATCTCTTCAGCTTTGGGGCCGCGTACGGTGCAGTGGACGGCAATCTTCTCATTACGCCTAATACCAAACGAACGCACGGTGTAGCGGGCCTTCGAGAACACTGGCTTCTGTCCAGTGAGTGACTCAAGCACCTGTAGACATTATACATTATTATACAGGGATTTATTGAATAACCCATACTTTTATTTGGTTGATACATTGAAAATTAGTCAATTCAAAAACATTTGCTCTACAGACAAACTTAAGCCAGCATTTATTTGTTGATCAAACATACAGTGCCAATTACTTCTGAGATATTCACAAAGTTCAATTAAAATCGGTTACAAGAAATAGGAGTTGTAATTAAAAGGTATATAGATACCTAGATCAGGATATTTGTCTGTGGGAAGGTAGACATAACAGATGTCTAGATGCAAGGTAACTCACCTTGGCAGCTCTGGTCAGTTTGTCACCAGACTCTCCAACACAAATGTTGAGGCAGAGCTTGGCAATGCGCACTTCACGCATCACATTCTTGTTTTTGTCTGCAGCACGCTTGGCTTTGGCATTTGCCTTCAGCACAGCACCTGGATTAAAAGTTTAGTCAATGTACATTTTAATATTCCACTTTTCCAGGGCCCTCTAGAAATTAAATGACACAAGAGGCTAAAAAACTGGTATTAAAAAAATAATTAGGATCTCTGAGCATAATTTTTTCTTAATCACAAGTAATCGTTCTGCAGTTAAATTACAGGATTCAATGCCTATGACATCAAATGAAATCTCATGATTGAATTGAGCTGAGCTTTAAATTATTAGGAAATTTAATTCAAGGAAAAGATGAAGGTCAGGATGGATATTCCACATAACTTTGAACAGAACCACTTGTAGTACCGTAAAATGGTAACAAAGACCATCACTTTTTTTGAAATTACATAAAGACTATGAGAGGCAGGAGCCAGCAATTTATGGTGGGTGAAGCTAGAGTATAGACCTGTATTTTGAATGTTTCAATTCAAGTTTAATTTAGCTAGTAAAAAAATGGCATCATTTATAAAAAAGAGTGGTCTAAGTTACCCCATTTTACGGTATATATATAATCAGCATATATATCCACATCAAACCAAACTTTGAAGAAACCATTAAATTACTTATGTTGACTCTGCTCCTCAGTATTGAACATTAAATTGAAGGAAGCAAATAATTACATTTTAAAATATTACCTCGGCTATTTACAGACGGATCATGTTGAAACTTGGTACGCATATGTAAAACAGAAAAATAGACGGATTTTATATGTGTCTATTTTTTGAAAAAAAAAATAAATAAAGGAAAACATGAAATTCTTAGAAAACGGCCATAAAAAGGGGTACTGTAAAAATCTATCTCCTCTTAGGATTTTCAAGCTACAATAACGAGATGCATATCATTTGATACGTAAAGGCCATATCAATAGATTTATCATAGTTTTTTTTAATTTGAATTTTTGTGGGTGGGGGAGCATTTTTTTGTAAAATTTTTGAAAATTTTTTGATTTCCTCCCTTTTCACCCATTCCTTTTTTCAAAATATTTTCAAAACTAAACCGAAATTTAAAAAAAAGCTATGATAATTGGATAGATCTTTTATTTGCAAATCGAATGTTATATCTCTCATTGCTGTAGCTTAAAAACTCTAGCAGGAGATAGGTTTGCAGTGACAAAATGTGTGAATGTTCAGTAGAGCACGACTAATGGGAGCATACGGCCAAAACTTTTGGATTTTGGCTCTTCTGGTTGGTTGTTAGTCTCATCTTAAAGCTGACATTCTGATCTATCCCACGGCATCAAAACCATCTCTGTACGTTAATTTATGCATTCACAACAGATCCCGAAAGGGTTAGGGATGGTGGAGTTCTTTCACATTTATGATAGGCAGAAATTCCCAGTAGCACAATTAAATAGCTAGTCCAAACAAGGTGTGCTTCAGTTATCCGCCTGCAGTCATATGGGTTGGGTCAGGTGCCGTCGTTCACACCATCCTTGACAGAGATTGAGCTCCAGTATCTTCTAGTCTTTCAACCTTGCACCCTTGAATGTCTATTTTGAGGTGCCCGGGACTTTGTCAGGCTCTACTGAAAAGTTAACTTTTTGTCACTGGAAAACTATCTCTTCCTACAGTTTTGAAACTACAGCAATGAGAGATATACCATTCGATTTGCAAATAAAATATCTAGTGATTGGCTGTAGATTTTTTTCAATCTTGTTATAGTTTTGAAAATATTTTGAAAAAAGTGGGGGGAAATGAAAAAAAAAAATTTATAGCTGCCGATTTTTTGGTTTACACATGTGTACCAAGTTAGAAAGTGATCCATCTGTTAATAGCCTAGATAAGATTTTGGCCAGACCTCTTAGATGTTAAAGAACTCCACCACCCCTAACCCTTTCACGATCTGTAGTGAACGCATAAATCAACATACCATACAGAGATTGTTTTGGCACCGTTGCATTGGACAGAATGTCAGCTTCAAGATGAGACAAAAAACCAGAAAATCCAAAATTTTGGCCAGATGCACCTCTTAACATAAATATAGAAAATAACAATACTTCATGATGCAAATAAATTTGCATGCCGCTTCTGTTACAGTATCATAACTTTAGCAAAATCATGCTGTAAAATAAACTTAGTACTTACCAGATTGGGGAACTTTCTTCTCTTCTGATGTCATGTTAAAATATGTAATTAACCCAAAATATGATTAATGAGGTTTCTACATCAATTTTCAGCAGTACCTGTGGAAATATTGAGAATTTAGTAAACTCTTGAACTTAGTGGATAGATAAAAAAAAGTACACTGAACCATTCAACAATTTTTCACTTCTTCCACTATAATGAAGTTAACCATAAAACTGAAAAATGCTCTTAGATCCTCAGTTCTAAGAGTATCATGCCCAGCAGTTTTTAAGAGATGGAATCAGAAGCCTTAAGAGAATATATAAATTTTTATGGAAAAATACCACAATTATTAAATAAAAGCTGATACACTAAATTTAGAAGCAGTACAATTTCAAGTAATCCATCATTGACAGCCAGAATCGGGATTTTCAATTTTATATTTGGCAACCTCAAAACCATATACTTCTAAAAATTTGAAATATAAGGCAAACATGGTTGTTGGTTCTAACATAATTGAAATTGTCAGTATTTGGGCTTGTGTCTAAGCAGGTGCCAAAACTGTGCCAAAATGAAACTGAGTTTGAAGCTTTAGTTATGGTTCACAGAGTTTACACACTAATTTGTGAAACAAGCTCTAGAAACCTCATGAATTGTCTGGTTGCACACTGGCACTATTTAAAACCCCAACAAGAGCTTTTATGTCCCTTTTGGGAACCACAAGATTTTCGTTAGATGAACTATGGTGTACTTCCTTCCATGATCTTGTGTTAGTATCCAGATGAGAAAAAATTCACCGCAAAACTTTTGCATCCAAAATTGCACAGTATTGTACACAATGCTTTGAATAATCATGACAAATGTTGTCTTTATTCCTTCTAGAAAAAATTCACCACAAAACTTTTGCATCCAAAATTGCACAGTATTGTACACAATGCTTTGAATAATCATGACAAATGTTGTCTTTATTCCTTCTGTCCAATTGTCAATATAGTGCAAACTGGGCAACAAAATTTCAAATGATTGAAAATTTATAACTTTGGAGTAGCAAGATTCCTGGAATAAGTAGGAAAATTCCAATCCTGGTTATACGCCACTTCTTAGGCTGTACTGGCAAAAATAGCTATGCCCAAATTGTACACATGTGCATTGTGCAGTGCTGCCTAATAAAAATAAAAGCCTCCGAAACTCAATCATTAATTTTTAAAATGAATGAAAATATAAAGTTGTAGAATGCCAATGGACAACATAGCCAAGTCCCCCTTAATGAAAAACCAAAGCTCCAGTCTGCAGTTTGCACATCATAATGTTAGACTCAAAACATCTTCAGGGTTTGTACTGGTATTTAGAAAAAAATCCATAATTTTTCTATGACTCTCCAAGACCATCAATACAATTTTCCAAGACTCGTATAAAACAGGTTTAGCATGACTGAGACTAACTGTGAATATTCTATCATCTCCTACAGTTGATAAATAGCAAATGCATAAAGCATAGCTCTTCATACTCTTCAAAGGTGGCATGGCTCTTTAAAGCTGCTTTCCCCATATTTGACTCAATAAGGTATTTCGAGCACAATGTACATATTGTCATACGTTCATGCATTGGATGGCAAGCAAGCCATCACGATAAGCTTCTATTCTTAACCACAATTCATGAAATTTACACTTTCCAGGCATAGTGACGTAGAAATTGAACGCTGAAGATGGAACGCTGCCACTACAGATCAAAAAGTTGTCCAATGCAACTGAGCTTGGTGACCAAGCTCACATGATTGAAGAGCCAATCAGAATGCAATGCATGAAACAAGAGACTGTGGCACAGTTTCTTGTTTCATGCATGCCAATCAGAATGCAGGAAACGAGAGACTGCACAAACAGTTCAAGACATGCAGCACAGAAAAACACTTCATTTTTTTCTTCTCTGCAAATTCCATGACTCTCCATAACCTGAAATAAAATCCAATGACTTTCCAGACCTGGAAAATGAAAAATCAAATTCCATGACTTTCCATCTCTTCCATGACTGGTATGAACACTGCAACTTATACCATAGAAAGTTTGTTACAATTTATGCCGAAATTATTCAAAACTGGAGTACTGATTGACATTTGAGTTGAGATTCTCTTCTCCATCACCTATGCTAAAAATTGCCTGCCTTTGGGTGATGCAAGGTGTTCAGTTACCATTTCCAAGCATAAATATAATACCGTAAAATGGGGTTACTTTGACCACTTTTTGTTTTTTCAACAAAAACCACCAAAACTCAAACTATATGACATAGAAAAATTTTGTCAATGGCCATTAAAGGCCTAATACTGAAGCTATTTAACACAATAGAAAGATTTAAAAAGTTTGCATATCAAATAGGTTAAGAAATTAAAAATGTGACCCACAAAAAAGAGCTATTATTCAAAGCCTGTTGGAGAACCCCCTCCAATTCTTTTATATTTTGGTAAAATAACTCTAGGTTTCGATGCATTGTAGTAGAACTTTTCCAGTTACATATGCAAATGACAAATTTTAGGAAAGTGTCATAGTTTGCAAATGGGGGGCGCCACCCCCAAATGGGGTAACTCTGACCACCTAATGGCAGCTGTGACGGGGTAACAATGACTGGCTTGGAAATTAAGTTAAAATTACCATAGGTATCTATATAACATATGTTATGTTTGATACACCTATTAATGTTTTTTCTTTACGTTTCAGACTCTACAGAGTCTTATATATGGTAATTTTATAGAGTTCTACTACAATGCACCAAAACCTGGAGTTATTTGGGAGTTATTTTACCAAAAAATAAAATTGATTTTATCACCCAGTCAAAGAAAATCCAAAGTGGGGGGTAACAAAGACCATCAATTTTTTTTAAATTACATCAAAACTATGAGAGGCAGGAGCCAGCAATTTTTGGTGAGTGAAGCTAGAGTATAGACCTGTATTTTGCATGTTTCAATTCAAGTTTAACTTGTCTAATAAAAAAAATGGCATCATTTTGAAAAAAAAGTGGTCAAAGTTTCCCCATTTTACGGTACTATATCAATATATTGTGGACTTATTTTGGATGCTTGCCATTGTGATGATTTATTTTGATTACAACTTTCTTTACTTGTACATGAAGATGCAAGAAACTATTGTCAATTCTACACTGGAAATTTGCTACCATCAATGATAGTAGTTGCCACTTATCAGAAATCACTCAGCAAACCGTTTTTTAACTGAAACAGATCAGCAAAAATCCTGTAGACTGTTGTACAGGGTGGTCCACAGAAACTTACTTATTTGAAAGGTCAATAAAAACAAAAGTACTTCAGTTATTGTTTTAAATTCTTTTTTATTCAAGAAAACAGTATCCCAATTTTTTTTTCATACAGTTTTGAAAATTAAATCTCATAATTGACGGCCTCCATTGCGCATAAACTAATGAAGTTGCTTTTTTCATAATGGTTTCTACTCTATGCAGCATATCAATTGGTATTTTGGCAATGACGTTGCGAATGTTGTTCTTGAGGTGTGCTATGGTCCGTGGTCAATCGACATAAACCAGAAATTTCTAATATCCCCATAAAAAGAAATTGCATGGAGTCAAACCTAGAGAGCGTGGTGGCCATTGGAGATCAACTCTGAGAGAGATGAGGCGGTCGGGGAAATGTTGTTGCAACAAATTCATTGAGTCTCGTGCTGTGTGTGCTGTGGCTCCATCTTGCTGAAACCACACGTTCCTAAAGTTCATTTCTTTGAGTCTTGGAGGAAAAAGTTCCTTGATCATGTTCCTGTAATGAGCTCCATTAACGGCAACTGCGAGTTTGTTTTCTTAAAAAATAAGGACCAATTATTCCCATTACCGACGTCGCACACCAGACAGTAACTCGCTCACAGTTAAGTGGCTTCTGGTGAAACTCACGTGGATTTACACCACACCAATAATGCATGTTTAGCTTGTTAACGCAGCCAGAAATGTGGAATTGAGCCTCGCCACTGAAAAAAACAACCGCGTCTTCAGGCAGGTTGTCAACCAGCATTTTACATGCATTTTGAGAAGCAACAAAATTGCGTTCAGTTAATTCTTGCACTACAGCAAATTTATTTGAGAAACTTTGAGAAACAAACTTGGGAACTTTCCCCTTCAGATGCACCCCCTCTCGCCCCTCTACCCAACCAACTAACCGCACAGGAATTCTTTCAAATAAGTAAGTTTCTGTGGCACACCATGTAGTACTGGACTGGACAAGACTATAATTTTCCTATTTGTTTCTGAAATCTTGTGGCTCCAACCGGTCACCAGGAAACTTTTAATTACAATTGCACTGCCTGATGCCACACCCCAATCATGCAGTGTGCACCTTTGATAATCAAATTCATCTAGCATGAATCTCACAGTTCAGAAATGGCTGAAAAGCTCTAGTTGTAGATTACAGCCCTCAACTTTTGTGGTAAAAAGGTTTCTAGTTGTTCTGAGCTATTCTTTGTGAAATTGAACGCTAGTGCAACCTTTGCTCCTGCTCAAGGCAGACGTTTCCAATAAAGTGAGTGAAAGGATGGGAGAGAACTTTCAATTTCTAGAGTTCATTATACTCACAACCCAACCCAAAACAGTTTAAATTTTGCTACAAAGTTTAATTTCATAAAGTCTATAAAATGTTTTTTTTTTTTACTGAAGGCCAATTACTTTCTCTAAGATTCAAGCTTCAGTTACATTATTATTTATACAGGTTTTGAGCAAGAAACTGCCAAGTACTCTTCTGTGCCTTTTACACTGAAGTGGTTGCATGCAAAATCTGGAAAGATTTGTCACTTTTTTGTTCAGCTTTGTAGGCATGGATTATGAGCAACTATGAGTAGGTGTGGATTATAAGGCAATAATGAGCAACTTTACCTTACAGAAGTGTCTATCTAGATATTATCAGGCATGGAATATTTCTACTTGGTGAGCTGCAACTGGATTCTTCAAGCTGTGAATTCCATATCTCGGCCGTGAAAAGCCATTTACGAGCCGCAAACTTGTTATTTACAAAGTCTCATGCATGTGTTACCCCACATCTCTAATTTTACCCTAAAAACAGTCACTAGCATTTGCCTTTGCTTGAGCAGCAACTGAACAAGTGATAATGCAGTCTGACCACTCTGACATGACCGCAACTACGCAATCTTCAAGGAAACATTTCAAGTTGAATTGTCATTAGTCATCATGTTCTGCATGTTATTTGGACAGCAGGCAGGAGCATTGAAGTATATATTGTTGCCGGAAGGCATTATTGCTTTTTGGCCCCTCAAGTTATCTGTGTCATTAATCCAATTTTTATACCTGATGCATCCTTTGTTTCATATTGTTTCAGAACAGATGTAATAATTAAATTCCATTCAAGCCAAGTTTAAAAGTTTAAGCAAGTAACTAAAGTGCTGCCAAGACAGTTTAATGCATCAACTTAATTCTGCAATACTGTCGGGTGAGTGAAGCTCAGTATGGAATTCTGTATAGGTAATATATTATCATCTTTCAAAAGAAAATGTATCGAAAAATTTACCACCTTACACCTTCCACCAAAGTGACAATTGATACTCAATTACTCATACTCTTACACTGAGCTCATCAGAAACTACGGACACCCGGACAGCTGCACTTCCTCTAACTCGATTTTGTGTGGTTCGAAAACTGATAAAAAGTCGGCGACTCTTCCCTCCAATACATCACTAGTCGTGTATCTGTATCGACAAATTTTGTAATGAATATGTTCCAAAATAAAAATAAAAATTACGTAAACTTTCGCAGAAAATTCTCACTATTCCACCAATACCAACAAAGTTCTCGAATCCACACGGAATGATGGGATAAACTGCTAATCTTTCATGGCGTATGGCAACATTGTGTTGACTTGACATTAGACAAGACGGTGTCAGACACCTTGTTTTGGTCTTGTAAAGTTCAATTTCATAATAAATAGATTTGATCCACATTCCACAGTAACATTTAAATGATGGAAAATTGTTTCAAAATTTAAACACCAATTGATACGCTTCTAAATACGAATTTATTCACGTTTTTGCCCTATAATGTCGAATTTGTCTTAATAACTTCACTTCAAATCCTGAATGATTTTGTCTCCCATGGCGAGTTTTCGAACGTCTTGTGTCTTTTAGAAAACGTTGGTTGTTTATAAGCAGTAATTATTTTATTTTAATGAACCGAAGAAAGTTTAGTC